CACCACCACCAATTCACTCCTGCCTGACTCATTTCCCAAGGTGGAGAGAGGATCAGGGCCGGGTGAAGGTGGGTGGCTTCCATGCAATGGAGGTGATCAACGTGCCCTGAACACTGAAGGCGTTCTCCAAGGTGCTGAACCCATTTTGAACAGCATTCAGACTAAAAACCTGAATGGGTTCAATGCCTCTGAGACATAGGAGTGGCCGACTTTTCTCGGCTGGAGTCATGCCGGTATTCTTCTCCTCCTGCTGCACTCGCAGCCTGAATGTGTAGCCAAAAAAAGGGAGAAGAATGGAGGGGGAGAGAGATTGAGAGAGAGGATAAAGGTGCATGACTCACTCCAAGGCCCCAGATTTGAAACCAAGCGGCAACTGGGTAGATTTCTAATTTGTGAGCATACCTGTTTTCAGTTCCTCGGTTGAATTGTGAAATGAATGAACAGGAGGGGGCAAGGCAGCATCAGAGCAAACTCTTGCCTGCTTTCGTGTGCACACGTGTGTGTGCTTGCCGACCTGCTTGTGTGTGGGTGCAAGGGTTATGTCTGAATACCTACTTGGGTTCCCATCACCCCATTTGCTTCCACCATCCACCGTACGCCACCCGTCCCACCAAATACAATGAATGCTTGCTGCCATGCCTTGTGTCCTATTTTATCCAGAAAGGGCCCCTGATCTGAAACCAACCCCTCTTTAAAGGGTTTTCCAGGCTGAGTCCCTCTCCTTCTTTTCAAATAAGTTATGTCTGAATACCTACTTGGGTTCCCATCACCCCATTTGCTTCCACCATCCACCGTACGCCACCCGTCCCACCAAATACAATGAATGCTTGCTGCCATGCCTTGTGTCCTATTTTATCCAGAAAGGGCCCCTGATCTGAAACCAACCCCTCTTTAAAGGGTTTTCCAGGCTGAGTCCCTCTCCTTCTTTTCAAATAACTGAAAGGCGTGTCCTATTTTATCCAGAAAGGGCCCCTGGTCTGAAACCAACCCGTCTTTAAAGGGTTTTCCAGGCTGTGTCCCTCTCCCTCTTTTCAAATAACTGAAAGGCCATCCTACAGAGGAGGACGGCAGGATCTGTTTTCAGGGTGCAAGACACGCAACAACGGGCTCAAGCTGCAGGGAACCAGGTTTTGGTTGGATATCAGGAAAAACTTCCCGACTGTTAGAGGAGTACGGCAATGGAACCAATTTCCTTGAGGGGTGGTATGGCATGTCCTATTTTATCCAGAAAGGGCCCCTGGTCTGAAACCAACCCGTCTTTAAAGGGTTTTCCAGGCTGTGTCCCTCTCCCTCTTTTCAAATAACTGAAAGGCCATCCTACAGAGGAGGACGGCAGGATCTGTTTTCAGGGTGCAAGACACGCAACAACGGGCTCAAGCTGCAGGGAACCAGGTTTTGGTTGGATATCAGGAAAAACTTCCCGACTGTTAGAGCAGTACGGCAATGGAACCAATTTCCTTGAGAGGTGGTATGGTGCTCCAACCCTGGAGGCACTCAAGAGGAACTTAGACAACCACCTGGCAGATCTCCTTTGATTTGTATTCCTGCACCACGCAGGGGGCTGGACTTGATGGCCTCATAGGCCCCTTCCAACTTCACTATTGTACAGTTCTCTCTCTCTTAAAGATAGAGAACTCAAAGTCATAGACCATGAAATGGCTCTTCTTTTTTACATTGACTCTCTGGGATTTTCCAGGCCAGACTGCAAACTGAGTGGAGGCCAAGATGGAAGTTTGGTCTCTTGATCAGCTGATCAGATTGAGATGCTACCTGCTTGGACCATCCCTTCCTAGTTCTGCCGGATGACAAAGGGGAGCCCATCATCAGAACATGAGCACCATAATACCTCCTCACTCATGCCCCCCAAAAAGTTTGGTCTCTTGATCATCTGATCAGATTGAGATGCTACCTGCTTGGACCATCCCTTCCTAGTTCTGCCGGATGACAGAGGGGAGCCCATCATCAGAACATGAGCACCATAATACCTCCTCACTCATGCTCCCCAAAAGCTGGTAGGTATCCTGCCCCTGAGTATGGAAGGTTTTAATCGGTTTTCAATGCACTGTAGGTCAATGGAGACTTGACTTACAGACTTTTTGACTTGAGAACCGCCTTCCAATACGGATTAAGTTCTCAAGTCAAGACCCCACTGTAGATATCCTGCCCCTGAGTATGGAAGGTCATACACTGCCATTATGACTTATAGTCTTCATTAGCTTTAACCTCCACAATTTGTCTAACTCTTCCCTTCAAGTGAAGTTTGGTGGCCATCACTGGACCGTCTGGAAGCAAATTCCATGGCATAACCATGCAAGAGGGTGTTAATCTCATTTGTTCTTCGTGTCCAGCGTTCACTGTCTCTAAGTACGGTGGTTCTGGGGCACTGTGGTAACATGTAGGCCATCAGAAGGAACTGGACAGACCAATGCCACCTGCTTTGGTGTTTGCATGCTGGACACGAAGAAGAAAAGGCTGCTAGAAAGGCGTTGTTTTCTTTTTAAGAAGGGAATATTTCTTTATACCCTCCACCAAGTACATAATCTACTCACACAGTAAAGTTTACTGGTAGGAAATCTACAGGAGCCTGTTAGCTTAGATCAGGTCTGGGAAACAGGTGGCCCTTCAGAGCTTAACCTGCCCCATTCACTATTGCCAATTAAAAGGAGTGATGGGAGTTATAGTCCATTTACAACTGGAGGGCCACACCTGCACATACACTCTCCTCGGTTTAGATGGCTCAAAAAGAGGATTAGACCCACCCTACAAGGGCAGAGGGGCCTGTTGGTCAACTTTGCTTTTTTCACATCCACACCCAACTCCTTCCCATGAAAATCAGTGTCCTTGATTGCTTAAAGGCAATATGTCTGGTCCAGCAATCCCTCTAAACCAGGAGTGTCGAAACTTTTCAGTAGAAGGGCCACATCATATATTTTACACATTTTTGAGGGCTGAAGGAGAGAAGGGGGACCCAGGCAATCCCCCAACCCTGCTGTCTTTGCAAAGACAGTGGGGGTGGGGTTCACTTGGGTCCCCCCTCCCTCCTTTTCCTATGCCCAGGCCGGATAACAAAGCAAGGCGGGCCGGATGTGGCCCGTGGGCCGTAGTTTGGAGAGCCCTGCTCTAAACCATTAAAGTTGCTCTCCAAGGTCCTGAGTCTATTTTGTAAAGGAGGGTGAAGGATAAAATCAGCACGACCTTTCTCTCCTCCTTCCCCACGCCATTCAAACGCTTTCCAATTAATTGGGCATCAAATCCTCCTAATCACAGACGCCAAGGAGAATCCAAGAACACGAGAGGCAGAGGAAAGGAAGATTCAGTCAGGATCCCCCCTTTGGCAATGCCTCTAAAGTTCTGGCTATAACTTGGCACAGATGAGCTGTCCTCTCCAAAATCTGCCTGCACACCACTGCCTATGCAAGATCAAACCCATTTTCTGGAATCGTTGTATGTGTGGGGTAGAGGACTCTCCCTACAAAGAAAGGATCAGAAGCACCTTTGGCCAACTGAACTACATTCACAAATCAGGAGAAACCTGGACACTCTGGTGCAGCCCGTGCTTTCACATTTGGCTGTGTGTTTTCTAAGTACGGTGGTTCTGGGGCACTGTGGTAACATGTAGGCCATCAGAAGGAACTGGACAGACCAATGCCACCTGCTTTGGTGTTTGCATGCTGGACACAATGAAGAAAAGGCTGCTAGAAAGGCGTTGTTTTCTTTTTAAGAAGGGAATATTTCTTTATACCCTCCACCAAGTACATAATCTACTCACACAGTAAAGTTTACTGGTAGGAAATCTACAGGAGCCTGTTAGCTTAGATCAGGTCTGGGAAACAGGTGGCCCTTCAGAGGTTAACCTGCCCCATTCACTATTGCCAATTAAAAGGAGTGATGGGAGTTATAGTCCATTTACAACTGGAGGGCCACACCTGCACATACACTCTCCTCGGTTTAGATGGCTCAAAAAGAGGATTAGACCCACCCTACAAGGGCAGAGGGGCCTGTTGGTCAACTTTGCTTTTTTCACATCCACACCCAACTCCTTCCCATGAAAATCAGTGTCCTTGATTGCTTAAAGGCAATATGTCTGGTCCAGCAATCCCTCTAAACCAGGAGTGTCGAAACTTTTCAGTAGAAGGGCCACATCATATATTTTACACATTTTTGAGGGCTGAAGGAGAGAAGGGGGACCCAGGCAATCCCCCAACCCTGCTGTCTTTGCAAAGACAGTGGGGGTGGGGTTCACTTGGGTCCCCCTTCCCTTCTTTTCCTATGCCCAGGCCGGATAAAAAAGCAAGGCGGGCCGGATGTGGCCCGTGGGCCGTAGTTTGGAGAGCCCTGCTCTAAACCATTAAAGTTGCTCTCCAAGGTCCTGAGTCTATTTTGTAAAGGAGGGTGAAGGATAAAATCAGCACGACCTTTCTCTCCTCCTTCCCCATGCCATTCAAACGCTTTCCAATTAATTGGGCATCAAATCCTCCTAATCACAGACGCCAAGGAGAATCCAAGAACACGAGAGGCAGAGGAAAGGAAGATTCAGTCAGGATCCCCCCTTTGGCAATGCCTCTAAAGTTCTGGCTATAACTTGGCACAGATGAGCTGTCCTCTCCAAAATCTGCCCGCACACCACTGCCTATGCAAACACAAACGTAAATGCACAAAATGAAGGCAATATTGGACTTTCACCCCCGGTTCCGCATTGCCTATTCAGTAAGTGCCTTAAAACCCGAAAGGCCCACTATTTGCAATGGAAACACACACAGCCCTCTGAAAATCTGCTTCTGCTTTGTTTCAACATCTTCGCACTTTCTGGCCAATTGGTGAAGTTCTCGGAAAAGATGCAAAAATCGTATGAGTGCCATCGAACTGGTTTTTCTTAACAAGGCATTTGTGACAAAAGGCAAAGGGGAAGAACCACCCGCAAAATCCCTTCTTCTAAAGACTGCAGAGGTATACCTCGGGGTGTGCTGGACCTTCCAGCTGCTGCTGGACTACAACACCCATCACTCACCACCAATGGCGATGCTCACCAGGGCGGAGGGAAACTGCAGCCGCTGAGCCCCTGGTTGTTCACCCTTGTGGCACATGGGTCTGGAGTCACAAAGGGCTGGCCGCTTTGTACGAAATGTGGGCCACAGCCGTGGAGAATAGCACAACAATCTAACATCCGATCAGCCACCGATTTACCCCCTTTTGGAATCACATCATAAAGTTTGCAGGCTGGGGTCTGGATAAGCAGAAACAAGCAGATATTTCAAGCATACCTGTGGGGCAAGATTCCCTCTCCCCCAACTTCCAACTGCTCACTGAGATCCAGGGAAAATAAATGGTAGCCATCTGCTCAATTTAACAGCCAGGGGAAATAAATGGTAGCCATCATCTCAGCCTCATTCAACACAGACCGAGTTCTGTCCTCATCAGTGCTCCATGCTTGTGGCCTACTTAGAGATGTGACATTTCCAAAAAAATTCCATTTTTTTCTGGAAATAAACAGGGGGAAATACGGTTTTTTATCCCCCCTGGAAAAAAAAAATAGAAAATTTTACATCTCCAGGACTACCGAAGTAGCAAAGTACACTAGATCAAACCCATTTTCTGGAATCGTTGTAGCAAAGTACACGACACTTTAAGCCATGCTTGGGCAAAACATGGCCTTCCACATACCCAGTCCATTGGCTAGGCCAGCTGGGGCTGATGGGAGCTGTAGTCCAACAGTATCCAGAGGACACTTGGTGTTGGGCCTCATATTATGAGAGCCCTTTAAATAAATATAAGCAAGCAAATAAATAATACCCCAAAGGGACTTTTAAAACAAATGATAACTGGGCCATTTAAAGTTTATACAGCCTTGAAACTATAGGGCTTTGTTGTTGTTGTTTTTTTAGTTGTGGACCCCATTCAGTCAAAGAGCCAACTCACGGGCCCCACACGTTTAGCCCATCCACTGGCAGGACGTGGTTCTTCCTTCAACTGGCACATACGCGCCCTTAGGAGGTCTCGCTCGACCAAGGAAGACGCAGGAGGGCAGATACCCCCGTTTTGCACTGAGAAACTGTGGATTCAAATTGAGAGAGAGAAAGAAAGAGATCCAGGGCATCGGGGACTCATTTGGAATGGCCCCCGAAGCACATGGGTGGACCATTTTCTTGGAAGCTCAAGGAACACCCTATGTTGGCACCAAACGACCATTTTCTTGGAAGCTCAAGGAACACCCAGGTTGGCACCAAACGGCATATTCTTTCTTTCTTTCTTTCTTTCTTTCTTTCTTTCTTTTTGCCATGGGTTTTGACAGGGACTGGCACCGGGGTAGCTGGCGCCCCTTGGCACACTTACCACACAACAACATTCTTCTCTCAAACAAATAGACTCAACTGGAGAAACAGAACCACATCGAAGGATAAAACCAGCATGACCTTTCTCTCCTCCTTCCCCACGCCGTTCAAACGCTTTCCGATTAATTGGGCATCGAATCCTCCTAATCACAGACGCCAAGGAGAATCCAAGAACACGAGAGGCAGAGGAAAGGAAGACTCAGTCAGGATCCTCCCTTTTCAGGTTAAAGAGGAAACGGAATCCTCCTAATCACAGACGCCAAGGAGAGCCCAAGAACATGAGAGGCAGAGGAAAGGAAGACTCGGTCAGGATCCCCCCTTTTTCGGTTAAAGAGGAAACCTTGCTTAGCTGATCTCCCAAATCTTAGTACGAGCCTCCGCTCCCCCATTTTGACCTCCCCGAAAGCCATCATGTCTTCCTCGGCCCCTGGGCAGATCAAAAGATCTTATGGTTTCCTCCAGAAGATCTCACGAATTCACCTCTGTTCTCCGGTCTCGGAAAGAGGAAATTAAAGGTTTTTCTCTTTTCTACTTCTTTTTTTTTCCCCCAGACTGAAAAATATCCTTTCTGGATATCGTCTTCCCATCTGCTGATTTTATCCTCGAGGTTTAGGAAACC